TTGCCAGAAAAAGCACAAAGAATAGACATCTCTTCATTACCTTCCAGGGATGAGCTGTCTTGTATCATTTACCTAGCAAAATGGTATCTCTGTACTTTTATAGTGATGCTCATTATTAACAGGTTGATTTTAGCAGAAGCAATGTTTCACATCTGTATTGAAAGTGCTTTCCAAGCAGGAACTGATGTTTGCACTATCCCCCTGAGACATGGCCCCTACACGTTTTATCTGGAGCAACAACATTTTAGATCATTGCCTCAGTGGCAGAAACGTCTAAGGTGGGACAGAAGGAGACAGAAATCACGTAGTTGCATTCAAAACACTCTTTGAGTGTTGCTGCTGCTACTGTTGCTGTTTCTTGTCTTTTGTGATGGGTTAACCTTGGCTGGATGCCAGGGGCCAACAAGCCACTCTCCCACTCCCCTCCTCAGCTGGACAGGGGAGAGAAAAGTATGTTGAAAGGCTCATGGGTTGAGATAAGGACAGGGAGAGATCATTCGCCAGTTACTGTCATGGGCAAAACAGACTCAACTTGGTGAAATTAGTTTAGTTTATTACCAGTCAAATCAGAGTAGGAGAGAACAAACCCCCCTGAATCTTAAAACACTAAAAGCACTTAAAACCCCCCTACCCCTCCTTCCTTCCCAGGCTTAGCTTTACTCCCAATTTTCTCTACCTCCCCCCCTGAGGGATAGAGGGGGATGGGTAATGAGGGTTGTGGCCAGTTCATCACACACTGTCTCTGACGCTCCTTCCTCCTCAGGGGAGGACTCCTCACACTCTTCCCCTGCTCCAGCATGGTGTCTCTCTCCCGGGAGACAGTCCTCCATGAACTTCTCCAATGTGAGTCCTTCCCACGGGCTACAGTTCTTCACGAACAGCTCCAGCATGGGTCCATCCTTTCCATGGGGTGCAGTCCCTCAGGAGCAGACTTCTCTAGTGTGGGTCCCCTGCAGGGTCACAAGTCCTGCCAGAAAATCTGCTCCAGCGTGGGCTCCTCTCCACATAGGTCTACAGGTCCTGCTGGGAGCCTGCTCCAGCATTGGCTTACCACAGAGTCACAGCCACCTTTGGGCATCCACCCACTCCAGCGTGGGGTCCTCCACGGGCTACAGGTGGATATTTGCTCCACTGTGGACCTCCTTGGGCTGCAGGGGGACAGCCTGCCTCACCATGGGCTGCACCAGGGGCTGCAAGGGAATCTCTGCTCCGGTGCCTGGAGCACCTCCTCCGCTCCTTCTCCGCTGACATTGGTGTCTGCAGGGCTATTTT